GGCAGCTGCTGCTCAACTGGATCCTGGCTGGAAGGAACTCTCTACTGTCACAATAAGCATATTTTGTCTTTTGCAGGGGCAGGCGGTGGGATAAAGAACCTGTCTGGTACAGACAGGGTCCAACCTCATGTGCAATCAATCAATCAATCAATCAATCTTCTTGTAGAATGTTTCTTGAATACTCCTTTTTTGTTGCACTCATCAGGTAATAGAACAGGCAGGCAAAATGCAGGCTTTGGTTTGTCTCACAAATTGGAAACAAAGCAGTACTCCATGTATGCCACTCTTCATGTGATTTCATTAGTTCTTATCCTTTATCAGACACAGCAGATGTTAAAGGGTAAATGTAACAAAAACCCACATAACTCACACAAAATAAGTTTTATTATCTCTGGAAGGCAAGCTATTTACAGCAGTGAAATAACAGAAAGGAGTACCAGCATACACTGCTTTATTCTGTTTGCTCGGCCTGTGGCCTCTGGAACAGCTTCTGCTGGGAATCCCATCATTGGGATGGCCTCAGCATTTCTGCTGTAATTTACTTCTTTTGTTGTTGTTTTAGCATATTTGATATGGACGATTACAGCAGTCTATTGTCTCCATATTGGAGCCACATTTTCTGCTACACACAAGCATTTTTTAGTTCGAGGTATGGCTGGTGTTTGTATCCAGTTTAGTTTATGCTGTTTGGTTGTTTTGCTTTTCCATGAATACAAATAATGAGGATAATTTTGAATGCTTTTGCAATCAGAAGCTCCTTTTTTTTTTTTTTTTTTTTTTTGAGTTCTTAGAAAATATAATTTAAACAATAGAAGTATGTAAGTATGACTGTGCCAGGACATTTTATGTTAATAAACTTTTAAAATGCTGCTCATTATCTTTATCTTGCCACAAATAAATTAAATGCTTTGCATGTTCCAGGGGTTTATGGAAAACTGTCAAAATTATGAGTTGTTTGATAAAATTTATAAACATTTATGCAAGCAAGTCTCAGTGTAAATTTTAGATACTTCTTGTACTTTGCTTTTATTTAAAGACTTTGACCATATGTGATTTTTAATCCTGTTACAGTTTTAAAACCTGTTGGTGTGGTCTCCAGACCTTGCTTGCATCCATTTAAATTTCCTGAATATTTTGCAGAAGGGGAGCTTTGTCAGGAGCACCTCTTTGACATAATCAGGCCACTCTCGAGGTTTATGAACATCATCTCCTAGAGGAGAAGTGGCGTGCAAGAAATACTGTTTGTCCACACTGGCAGATACCCTTAACTTTAACACAGGATTAAGCACTGAAATGAATGAACGTGCAAAGACATTTCAAGGGCTGCAGCCCACTCAGGACTGAGGAATGAGCTGCAAACTCCCAGCTGCTCTCCTGCAGGAAAGTGCCATGTCTTCATCGCAGTCCTATGAGTTACTACTGAGCTTCTCAATTGCTGTGTGCTGATGCACCATGACAGTAAAATACTTTCCCAAATTATAGGTCTTTCTGTAAGAATTTTTAGGGCTGAAGCTTATCAGACCCACGCCTCCAACTACAGCAAATGTGTTCACCCTGACCTTTGTTTTGATGGTGCAAGTTACTGGATTGAGAGTTCCTTATCTTTTGCAAGTTGTTAATAACAATAGAAAGGTGTAAGCTTGATCAGATATGCAAACCACCTTCACTACCTTGTAAATGCATAGATATTTAGCAAGCCAAAACTGGAAGCAGCAAGTTGTGCCAATCTACAGAGCCTTCAAGACAGTCTATATCTGGGTCATATTCTCTTCTTTAGGCTAAGAGTCTCATAAACATAAAGAAACTGTATTAGAATAATGTACAACAACATAAAAGCAATAAAAGCAGGGGCACCTGCAGTGTTGATGTACATGCAGCATGTCTATTGCACTCTTTCTTGCAAGATAGGGAAACTCCAGGACAACCTATGCCCAAGACCTAGAAAAGCAACTTCCCAAAAGGAGAAAAAAAAAGAAAAAAAAAAAAAACATGCTAATTCTAGTGACTCATGGCTGCCTTCTGCCACTTCTGGAAGAATTCCCTAGCCCCTGAAGAATGGGCCTCCTAGCAATTTTGACTTGCCAGTAAAAATCATGAAGAGAAATGTGAAAGTGATCGCTGTCTTCATCACTGTTGCTGTTGTTAACCATAAAGCTTTGTTTTTCTTTTAGGGTGGGTGCTGGGTGACCATGACATTCTTTCATGGCTGACCACTGGGAAAGCATCCCTGGAGAAGGAGCTGAGCTATGCACAAAGTGGTAATTGTGAACAGCTACTGCTCCATCAGCTGGAAGAGCCAAGGCTGACCACTAAACAGAACTAATGAACATATCCTTTCAATAACAACTGATACCATGCAATGCTTATACAAAAGAGGTAAGTGCTCTGATGACATGACTTCTGTTTTAACTGCTGGCATAGCACAAAATCTCTGTATGTATCTGATAGCAGGACAATGTTTTTCAGTGTGAGCCTGTGATTTTGCTGAAATGACCACAGCTTTCAATGTTGCTTGGAAAAATAAGTAACTCTTTAAACAGGGATACAAAAGGGGAAAAAAAATAACCAACCCATCTTGAAACTTAACACAACATTACAATGAAAAGGGATGCTGATCCCTGATAAGGCAGGCTTGCGAGAGTGGGTAAGGGAGAGATAAAAAGCCAAGACAAACCTGTAGCACTGAGTGGGTGAAACTAAGGTGGGGGAGGATTAAGATGGCATATTTCCCTCCCAGGCTGGGTTTTGCTTCATGAGAGATTTAAATGAATGATCTTCCCCTGTGATATGTCATCGTTATCAATATCAAGGAAGCAACAAAGCTTGCTGCTAAGGATGAGCGTCTCTCTCATCTCCCCTCTTCCCCGATGACAGAGGAGATAGGGAACTGGGGAGACTTGGAGGCAGCACCAGTCCCCAGCAGGCTCTTCCACTGGACAGCAATGGGCAATGAAGTGTTCAGTAGCCATGCTCCAGGGAGACCTAAAGTCCCTTTTCAGGAGGTGCTCAAAGCAAGGAAGATGAGCAAATTCCTCATCTCAGCACTGCTGCTGCAACAGAAGATGCACAGACAGAATGAGCTCACCCCATGGACAATGTTTTCATGCTGCACATGTTCAGAGGTAAGTTTCAGGCCTAATCAGTGTGTTTAAGGTGCTTTAGTGATGATGACAATGGTTTCTTTCCATGGAAAAAGGAAAATCACATCACAAATTTGTACATATTGCTTTGTGACTGCTCTGCTTTAGTACAATTTCATGAAGTATTTGTCTTAAGTGAGTGAATCATGGCAGGGATTGAGTGTGATGCTCAGTTGTTGTCACCTCCTGTCTTCATTTTTGTAAAGAACTTTCCTCTTTGCATTTTCCAGACTATTTTAGCATGTTCCCTGCTGTTACTTGGATGCCTGGATTGTTATTTGATGCCCTCATTGTGATTTGTGTGTTTCTCACACCGGGTGATGTTAATATTTAATGAATTTTAGACCAGCATAAAGAGCAAATTCGATGCATTTGATAATATAAGTACTCTCCTGTGGTAGTTGTCACTTAAGAAATTATCAGGGTAGATTTATTTTTCCTATGGCTGTTGCTTTAGAAAGGTTGTGGCTGCACTGTAATTAGAAAAGGGAAATGTAACCACTGATTACAGATAGAGAAGTAAGAAAAAGCCAGCTTACCAGAAGATTCAGTACATCTTTCCAATGGAAAAAAAAACATCTGGATGTGTGAAAATCTATTCTGGAGTAGGGGGTAATAACATGTACCCCTACAGACTTATCTTTGTTTAAAATGCATGGAAATGTAAAAATTATATTTCCCAGAAAAAAAAAATAAAATTCCAGGTTACATGCGTTGTACTTATATACTGAGTTTATAATGTATTCTACACAGCATGGAGAAAGTTTTGGACCTCACTTGTATTTTTAGGGAATATAAAAGCCCTATAATGGCATCTAAATTATTCTATGTTCCTATGCAGCTTCAACCTGTACAGATTGAGGTTGGAAGAAAAAAAGTAGGTTTCCCTTCGTCAGGGAGAGGGATTTTGATAGTGATGTCCAGAAGGTGATCAGTGTCAGTTTTCTGCAGTCCCTCCCATAGGTTCAATTTCAGCTGGTTTAGGGCTTTTGCTTTCTACCCTAAAGGTAGGTGGCAAGTTGTGTTGAAAGTGAGGTGTACGTATCTTACTTTTTAGAGCAAAGGTGTACACTTCCAGAGGTCTTTGCTTTTGGGTTTTACTCTCAAAATGATCTTGCAAATCGAATTGTTTTCCATATTACTGGAAAGTAAAATGTATTTGAAGCAGTCCTGTGTACACCAGCCTGCTATGCACCTGATTTTCCATTATTTGTAAGCATTTTGGAAATCACAGCTCACATGCAGCCCGCAAAGAAATAAAATCAGAACGTGTAGAACTATGAAAGCATTTTTCAGCTTGTTGTCAGACCAGTAAATTTCAGACAGTGTTCATTTCCCCAAGTGAAACATCACAGTTTGAAAGAAATCGATTTCTAAAACAGGCTCGGGGAGATCTGTCACCGAAGAGTCTCCTGCCACACGCCACGAGTGTCATCCCGTCCAGACCCCGCGCCTCCGTGTGAGCGCAAACGCTGGCTCTCGGCGATATCTATGGCTAACATTGCCCGTGTTTGCACCTGGGACAGCAGAGCGTGGACCTGCAAATGCAAGTGTTAAGGAGGAGCTGCAAAGGTTTCAGCGGGGAGCGGCGGGTCCCGCTCGGCGGGCCGGGCTCGGGGAGGGAGCCCGCACCGAGCCGAGCTGCGGGCGCCCCGAGGGGCAGAGGCAGCGCGGGAGCCGGGCGGGGAGGGCCGGAGGGAGCCCTTCGGGGAGCGGCGGGCTCCGGCTGCGGCGGGAGCGGG